AATAGTCAACTCTTAGACTAAATACTCTATTTAGCTTAGATTATACATAACGGCAAAAAAAATGGTAGATTATGCATCAAGTCAATGAAGTTTAAGATACTCTAGGATTAATCATTAACTATAATTAAGGATGAGTCGGATGACAATTTCTTCGGACCCTGTGGGAGATGGGGTATGGTTTTAGTGAAATTTTGTGGAGAATATTTTTAGTTATCCGCAACAAATTAAAATATAGTAAAAAATACTACGAAATTCAAGTACTCAAGCTATAATCATTATTCATTGTTAATCAAAAGTTACTCTAAACTTACTCCTTTTGAATTAAACTCAATCTATTAAACATTTTAATTAAAGAGTAGGGATTAATTAGTTTAATAAACTCTTGCATCAAATTTAATTAGCCACACCTTTTTAAATTTAAAGAATTGTTTTAAAAATTTAAGTGTTGCATTAATTGTTAAAATTTTAAAATGAGTATTTGAGAATTGAATTGATATAATACTCATATTTGTGTCACTTGATTCTAACTCATTAAACAATAAAAAAATGATTAACTTAAGCAAAATTTTCTGAAAAATCTAAATACCTAAAATTTTTTCCTTTAGATAACAAATTTTCTTTTTATCTTTTTAACAAGTTTGAAAATTTTAATTTTTCTTTATAATAATTTATGTATTTTTAGGCCTAGAGTCTCTACTCTTTTTTTCTTTTCTTTTCTTTTCTTTTTTTTTGAAAAAAACATTTCTGTTTTTTTCTTTTGTATTAACCTTTCGGTATCTGGTAAGCACATTGAATCCTGATTAATCCAAAATTGAATCATGTCTAAGCCCATTAGAAGGAAAACTCTCTCAGCACCTATTTTTCTATTTATAAGAGTCAAACTCAAAATTTTATTTTAAAAAAATCGAGTTATTTCCACGGCGTACTAGAAAAAAATCTTTCTGTTAGTTTGTATATTTATCAAATTCGCTCAAACCTTTGAGTTGCGCACAAAACCCAGCCCACTTGGCTCGTTTGCTTGGTTAAGACTGACCCAGGTTCATCCCACTCACTCATAGAGTCTCTGTGATGAATATATATATATATTTTTTTTTTTTCAAAGAGGGGCCATGGTAATGAACACCCAAAGGGAGGCAACACCCCGCGTTCGGCGTTCCTGCATCAAGCAAGTACTTCAAACCGCAAACGAACCACAAGTATCGTTTCCGTTTCCAAAATAATAAGTCTTCGGTATCCCAAACTCCATGCAATTTCCAAAGCATGTTTAACTGCCCAAAGTTCAGCTTGCAAGCAAGGCGTGGCTGATTCCAATCTTTACTGAAAAACCATGAAGCCATTGTCCTTTATGTTCTCGGAGACCTTTCAATTCGTACTCCGGTCAAGGAAACTCCTAACCTTCCATCATGCCAACATGGACACACATGGGGCAGTTGAATGAGCATCATTTGAACATTCGAATTCTACATATATATACAGTCCAAAATTGTGGGCCATCTCAGCGGGTATATTGACCCAATTACATGAGATGCATAAATATCAATAATAAAGAGAGCAATTTTTAATTTATGTGATCTTATTTATAGTGCTAAGAGTTTATTTTTTCATCCGTAATGATAATAAGTACAATTTCATGGTTCACAAATATGAAATCAATTTAATATCACATATGAATTTTAGTGACATTCGAATCTCAATAAATAATTTTAAAAAATATAAAAGTTGAATTTTAAGACTCATAAAATATCAAACTTTTTTTTCTTTAAAATTACATACACAAAATGATCAAAATTATGATTCTTTAAAATTAACCTACCTAAATCTCTTCAAAGATGCCAAGAATTAAAATCTTAATGTTCAAGGGATTAATACAGCCCCTAAGACTAAGAGTAGTGTATGCCACGATTGAATAAATAGCACCTTTTCACTATATTCCCGTGCAGAATCAATACTCCAAAAGGTGATGTCAAAAGTACTTATTCATCAAGAAAATGGATAAGATAGGTGGGAATCTACTTTTTCCTTCACTCAAAAAAGTCAGAAATTAAGTTGAGGAGGACGATCAATGGCATTTGTGGCAAGTAGAGGCATCCAAACACACAAAAAATTCCTTGATTTCCAGCTATGGATCATAGCATTAACAAGCCTTTAAAATATCCTGCCCCACAAAACCATTTCATATATAAGCCCTTAAACTTATCTCATTTTAGCATATAATCCCTTGAATTAAAAAACAAGCAAATATGTCCTTGAACCGCATAAATTCTGGCAGTTCACTCTTTGTTAACAGATCAATTGATGTGACAGTTAAAAGGAACACTTGACGCTAATGCATCAATGTAAAAATTAAATAAAATTAATAGTTAAATTGAAATTATTCTTATCTTGTAATTATTAGATAAATGTATATTAATGATAATTATTTTTTTTATCCATCAGACTAATCACATCATCAATTAAGAGAAACTATTAAAAGTTATTAACAAAGAGCTAAGTTGCTTTAATTATGCGGTTTAATTAAGGGCTTGCTTGTTTGTCTTTTAATTTAGAGACAGATTTGCCAAAATGGGGCATGTTTATTGAGGGCTTAAGCAATGGTTCGCCGATTTAGTAAATTGCTTTAGTGTATGGTTAATGTAACGTCTGGCTTCCTTTACATGGTGGAGAAAAGCTAGCTCATGTGTTGGCTTATAACAGTGTCTCCTGTAAGTAACACTTCTTATATATATCATAAATAATTCCGTGGGGTATCTTTTTCAAGAAAGTGTTATATAAATAAGTACAATTATAAGTTTTAAAAATTAATTAGAAGGAATTAGACTTTCGAATATAAGTGATTCGTCTCCAAACTTTAAAGTGCTTGAATTAGTTTGTTGGGGTTTTGAATCCCACCACCAACACTTTCATGAATCCTCTTCCCCCAATCTCTCAAATTATAAACTGATCAAGAAAAAAAAAATTAATAAGAAGGGTCCTCCAAAGTAAACCCTCCTCTCTAGAATTAATATTTAATAGTCACATGGGACTATTTTAAAATTTTAAATTAATACAATGTTTAAATTAATAACTAAAGATTAACATAACACTTATATTAATATAAATTGATTTAACTCAATAAACAACAAAAAAATGATTAAATTAAGTGAAAATTGAAAATTTTAAACAGTTATCCTTTTATTTCGAAATAATAATTTTTTTTTTTTTCATATTAAGATTTTAAAAATAATTTTTATTTTTAATTATTTTACCTTTAAAAAAATTAAAGAGACTCTCTATGATCTATTTCTAGGCCTACAGACTTTATGTCTTATTTTTAATTTTTTAATATTTTTTTAAAAGGTCTTTGTGTGAGTTTGTATATGTCAAATTCGCTCAAACCTTTGAGTTGGGCCGAAACCCAGCCCACTAGGCTTGTTTGCTAGGTTAATCATTAATCACGAAATAACCACTTGGGTTGGGCTGAACCAGCCCACTCACTCATAGCCAGCGTAATGATGAACCGTGACCATGGAGGCGGTGGAGTTGGCTCATATCCAAACTGACACCAGCCCTTGTTACTGTAATGCTAGTCTGCTACCCATCATTCTTTTTTTTTTT